GAAGAGGGTTAGTCTGGTTTGGAGAAGGCTTGTATTTCAGTAGCTTGCAGTACAAAGTTATCTTTTGATCATGAACTTTGCTGTCCAGTGACTGAAAAATTAAACCTGGAAAACTCCCCGAGTTAAGCCTAAAGAAATATGCACCACCAGTGGAGAGCAATGCTAATGTTTAACTAGCTGAAATAGCTGTTTGCTTAGTGGAGAATGTGAGGTATCTGACAGAAGGGACATCTCTCTTATTAGTAATCAAATAGGGCTGACCAGTTGTTGCCATCACTCTGGGATTGTGTCAGGCAATTGAGAACAAGTTCACCACTTTATAGAACTCGAAGTACAAAAAATCAATATAATTATATTTGTCTTTAGTGTTTTAGCTATGGAAATCATATAGCGCTGGATTGTTGCCTTGCGAGCTGAATTTATTTCTGCTTTATTGGCTAAAAAATATTTGGAAGTGGAGGAATCTTGGCGGCGTAGTAAATGCAAGACAGCGTGTTACAGTTTTTATTATTGGATTATGGGCATGTTCATTGTTCAGAGTTTTCAAGATATGTGTGACTTTTGCAGATGTAAATGGTGAATTGCATTAAAGTGTGACTACGCCAGAACGCGATGAAAATTAACGGGGAATGAAAATTAGAATAATATTTTGCTATTATGTGCTCGGTCGGACTTTAATTCAGAGCTATGGTCAGGGTGATCATTTCGTGCCTATTGAATGTACGCTGAAAAATACACAAGTAGTTTATGTTTATAGTCCGTACGCACAATGAAACGCAGCACACATAACATTTTTCAACGATTAGGGATTATAATGATACATACCTAATAATGTCCTGGAATTGCTGTGAGGTAAATTATATCCGTTCTGTGAAGGGTGGTCCTGGCAAAATTGAAACAAGCTATACAATATGAGCGCTTTTATACCTTCCCCAAACTATCGGAAGTATGTTATGATTTGGTATTCCAGAGGCATGAGAAGATATAAAAAATCAGAAAACATTTGGTTAATGGGTTTATCATGTTTATTTGAATAAGGAAGATTGAAACTCCATTTATGCCTAGCATAAATGCTTTAGAGATCTTAATTATTGATGAAAAATCTGCTGTGCTTCTAAATTTAAAGATATGACAATTTTATAGGAATTTTAATCACCTTCTACATTAGGAATTTCCAAGATTTGGTTTTTATGAGGATGGCATGTGTTTTAGCCTTCTAAAGAGAGTTGTCACTTATCATGTCAAAATACTGGGAGAATTTGGTTGCATACTGCATACGGCTCAGCAAGGAGGTCGGTGCAACACTCTTCCTCTCAAGATGTGCTTTGGAAAAACTGTCGAATGTAATGTTTGCTACGAGCAAATTGCAGCAAATGTAGAAGGAAAGCACGGACGTGAAAAAGCTCTGTAAGAGCAAGAGTCCTCTGAAACAACTGACGTGTATTTTACATCCCCAATATTTATGCTTGCTTGATCCGCGTGTTAATAGTTCGTTACGTAAATTTGTTGTCGGTGTTGAATTTCGGGTTTGTGTTTCCTCTTGAGCATCCCAGAACAACATTTCCCCATCAAATTTGTGGGTCAGTCTACAGTTTCCCATAAGAAGTGTTACCGTTTGGCTAGTTGGCTTAAAAAAAGAATTATATACAATATGCTTCACTAGATCCTTTTGTCCTTTGGATACATTTAGCAGCTTTTGACCAGATAAGGCATATTTGTCCTCAGGATATGAACCAATAATTCAATCCTGAATTGAGATCTATGGCCACCCATTTGTTCCAGCCCACACTAGGAGTCTCTGTGATAGTCTGAATTGTTTATCGCGCTGGGGAAAAAAAATAAAAAGAAGAAAAAAAACCCCTTATGCACCTCAGGAATAATAACTTGTTACCCATTAAGATATTTTAAATAAATTTATGTAATTATACCTTTGCATCCTGCAGTGGGCTTTAAATGTAAAAAGAAAACCAGAGGCCTTGGAAGGAGTTTTCTGTGTCGCATGCCTCTGCGACCTTTTAATTCAGTGAGAATTTTTATTTACGTCGACTGGATGTTTCTCACGAAGCATGGCTGAGTGTATACACTTTTATTACTGTATACATTTAAGTATCTTCTGGCATATCGGGGCTATTCATACAGCACAGTAACTCACGTATTAAAGAACAAACCCACCATAAATTGCAGCGCAGTCAGTAAAAAGATGCCACAGAAAAAGTGTCCCTGGGAAATTAGATTGACCCAAAGAAAAGCAAATAAAAGAAAGGAAAAGGCCCATATTTTCTTTGCGGTGTTGCTGAAAAGGATGGGAGTATCATTTTCATAGTGGAATAATGTTTTCTGGGAAAACACAAAAGCAGATGTTCCTCATTAGGAACACCCATTGTCTACATATCACAACTATGAACAGATAAATCTCTCCTATTTCACCCATACATTCCAAGGGCTGTAAATGATTACAGGATGCCGCTGTAACTGCTAAACCAAAACCACACTCTGTGCTAAAATAATTCCTCGGTGCCACCATCATACATTTCATTAGAAGGTATGGAAATTCCTGCTAAGATCCATCCTCTCGACTTTTCCTTTCCTTGCTGGGCTCGAATGTACCCAAAAGCTGGGCGTCCAACTGTTGAAAACTGCAAGGAGCGATGGCGGGGCAGCCGGGGCGGCAGGATTACATCCCTATCAAAACACGGAGTGGCAGCTCACTCGTGGAGCGGTGGCAGGTCTGGATGTGCTCGCAGTGCATCACCGATCGCGTGCTCTGCAGCGGGTTTCCAGATGGTACCATCACAGTCCTACTGCTAGCTGGCATCTCTGTGGGTAGTAAATACCCCCCTCCCCAATAAATCTGGCATTATTCTATAGAGTTTAGGAGACTTATCATTCCAAGTGTGTCCTACTTTCCTGTATGGAAGCCAGACATCTGTTTATCCCATTTCTTTCATACGGAGTTTGGAATAGCTTTAGTTTGGGGGAATAAAAAGTTTTGTCATATTTAACAGCTGTTACAAAATTTCAATCCCGTAGGCTCTTAAAATACTTTTCGACTGACCTCAGATTTTGTAGATAATTGACACTGCTGGTAGCCACCCCCTTTAACCTTTCCCTGGCTGTAATTTCAGATTATTTTCCCTAAACGAGTTGACTGTTCACGCTGGGGTTTGTTTTGTTTTTGTTTGGGTGTTTTTTTTTTTTTTTTACGCTGGCTTCCCGGTGCTGAGCTTTAATTCTTTCCTACTCCAAGTTTACACCTTCGGCGGGGTTGCGGAGCAGCGGCTGGAGGGCGATGGGGGTTTTTTTTCGTCAGCAGCGTTTCCTTTCACTTCCCGTCACAAAGGTGAGAGCCGCTGACCTTTGCTGGCAGTCCCGGCCGCTGAATTATTCATGTGATTGACTTTTTGTCAGTGCACACAGTTGTGCTCTGGGACATTTTATTCATTTACCTCATTTAAAGCGCCTTTCTGCACCTGTTCAAGTATTAATATCATGTAATTTGGGCCTAATGCCGATTTTGCTGAACACTCATTATATTTTTTATTAGCTATATTTCCAAACGATTATGTATGATTATTACCAAGCCTTACAAACAGCAATGGGTTATTCCCTAGACCTTTACATCTTCTTGTCAGGTTGTTTTCAGAAGCAAGGAGGATAAACATTTGACCAGTCCCAATGTTTTTATTCCTACTCCATATCCAACCAGAGAACTTAAAGCTTTTTCCCTTATGGCTTTGCGAAAGCATGATTAAATCCAACTCTGCAGAAGCTGTACAAATGCCAGCATTTATAAGGTCAACGCTTTTGTTAAAAATGCTATGTAAATGAGGATCTGCAAAAAGGGACATTAAATAAAATTAAATTCATTGTCTTCTTTAATGTCATTTACATTTTGGCTAAGCCCTGGCCTGTCAAGGAGGATTTTTTAAATAATTTTAATTACACATCATTTAGGGATCCAAGGTTTTCTATTCAGTAGCATTTGGATAACCTGCAAAATGGTGACTGTTTATTAACTTCTTAAATGACAACTTGTCGTTTCATCTGCATAATGCAATGAAAACAGACCAGTTTGGTGTCATTTTTTTAAATTCTTATTTTTCTTTAAGATGTGCACCCAACTACTGGGAGAATAGACCTTAA